TGTCAGTACATAAGTACAATTAATCAAAGCCTCTACCCGCATGAATTGGGCATCCATTCGAAATGAAAAATCTGGCGGCATATGATAACAAGGAATACTCCGCATGGGGATGATTTGATGTGGTGGGTGGCAGACCTATCAAACCCCTGCAACCACTAAAGGCTCACATGATTTGGCTGGAGCTTTGTTTCGCGACAACCTTTGTGCAACTTCTTTTTTTTTTGTCAAAATTAATTAAAGCACCCAAAAAGAAACTATAAGGCCAAACAAATTGGGTTGTAGTGGCGAAAAAAATGGTATTTTCCGATCTGACTGGGAAAATAGTACTCCGGTTTTTTTTAGTACTCCGGTTTTTTTTTTGGTGTTCATCTCAATGACAACACTAAAATACTCCGTAATGCTTACACATTGATACTGTATTTTGTTTTAGGGACTGACTTTGCTCTCCCACACCGTATCTATGACCACATTTTTCCTTTCTTCATAAAGGACCATCCAAAGGAACGCAGTGTCTTACTTGATTATTAGATAATTTATTATGTTTGAGATCAATCAACAAGAATGGTTACTAGTACCATACTATCTTGAAATTTTAATTAAAGTTTCTAGAGGCTTACTAGCTATCATTCTTGTTGATTGATCGGAAGTTTACAAAATATATTTTCTATTAAAATTTTAAACAATTTTTTTATTCTCTATATATAAATTTGAATCCCCTAACATTAAGAATTTGACATGGATATTATGACTATTGTGATTCATCAAAAGTTGAATAAATATACACATCATATCTATGTTTATTCTTTCATTTTTTTAATGAAAATGGTAAAGAATTTGAAACTTCTTAAGTGAGGGAGAATCGTAATGTCTTAAAAACTAGTCTAATATTTTTTTATAAATAAGATAATTACTTAAGAATCGAATGTGATTAGATAAAAAATTAAAGTACTCTCTCCGTCCCAAAATGCTTGCCAGATTTCTTTTTTCAAGGATCACGGAACTTTTATTCATTTGTACGTTTTCACTGCTTATTTGATAAAATAAAATATTCGTGACACTTCTTATTTTGAAGAATTTTTCATGTAGTTTTTAAAAATGTAAATTTATTTTTTAATTCCATACCAATATTTAAATAAAATGAATTAATAAAATTTGATATTTTGTCTCATTTTTTAAAATGTGATAAACACTTAGGCTATGGGGTGTGCCCTCCCCCTTCTCCTTTTTCCCTTCTTCGAATTCAGCGTCATATCAGCTTTTACTTTTCTTTTCCTTTCCCTTCCCCTCCGGAGAAATCCCTTCCCATTTTCCCCTTCACTTTTTACTTTTATTTTATAACCCTTATTTTAATTTATATAATCAAACGAAAAAAAATACAAAAAAATAAAAATTTACTTCAAACATTTAAAGTTAAATATTTAAATTAAATTAAGGAGGGTGTATTCAATCACGATTCTGAAAGATTTCGATAAATTGTGTAAAGTCTATGAATTATGTAAAACTTATGGATTGTTTTAAATCTATGCAGAGTTTGGTAGGTTTTAATGTATTTTATTAGTAAATTTTTATGAGATTTTCTCTGATTGTTTATAATGTATAAATTATTTATACATAAATATGAACTATTTTATAAATTTATACATTGTTGTAACATCAACTATTGTAATTAACTATTAAAAAACTTTGCTTATGAATTTGATTAAAAATTTAAAAATAATATAATAATATCAAAATAACTTATTTTTTTTAAAAAAAGTATCATTATCATAATATATTTATTAGAATAAAATGATACTCCATATAGTGCTCACAGCCATAAGCAATAAATTTGTTTTTGCAACTAAAATTATTATTATCTCTCAACTATTGTTTTTGTATGTCCAAACTCATCAATAAAAATCTAAAGACAACACAAAAGAAGACATTATCCAAAGTTAAAGATAATTGAAAAATAAAATTAGTAAACAACATAGTCTTCTATTTTAACTTCATTATTACCAAAATCTTTTTTATTGTCCTCATTAACATCATTTTGTGGTCATTACCAAAACCTTCTTAGCTTCATGTCAAGATATGATGAACGAAGAAGATGACTCAATTTCTGGTTTAGAGGGAAATTCATCAGAACGGTACTTTTTACGAATAAAGTTATGTAGTATTGCACAAGCTAACACTAGCTCTGCTTGTGTTTCAAATGAAAAAGGAGCATTCTCCTTGACACAAATCCGTGATGGACATGAAACCAATTATTCTCTTCGTCCTAAAAATAACTTCCCAGTTTAACTTTTATAGTCAAACTTTTTAAACTTTGATCGTTTATTACGGAAAAAATACATTGAATTTTCATATAAATTTATTAGCAATAGATTTTGAAACATAGTTTTGAAATATGTAACAACAACAACAACCCAGTTAAATCCCACAAGAGTAGGGTTTGGGAAGGGTGTGTGTACGCGACCTTACCTCTACTCGAAAGTAGAGAGGCTGTTTCCAAAGAGACCTCCAGTTCAACGTCGAAAGTTGCATTGCTTGACTAACTGTTAGTTCATTAATTAAAGAAGCACAGACAGTTTAGAGATCCATTTTGATTTATTCCATCACACGCCAAAGCCAAAAAATGGTGAAATTTTGGCTCCATCGGAGATGATGGAAAGAGTTTTGAAATATGTAATTTTTATAAAATATATTTATATAAAAATTGAGATATTGATGGTTAAAGTGTCGCATTAAAGACCGTGAAAAGTCAAATGGGAAGTTAATTTTAAGACGGAGGGAGTGTGTTAAAGTGAAATATCAAACCCACACCACAGATCACGATAATTATCAGCATCGCCATCATCACCATAATCGAATTGCACATAATGCAAAGCTTTAAAAAACTAAATATTGGTCTAGATATTAAAATGATAAAATTAACTACCAAGAGATGGTGAGTACATCAATAATGAGATCATAGAGGACGAATTTTTCAATATCAGCATAGGCCTTCTACCCATACAAAAACAATTTTTCAGGAAGTAGATGTAATGGAGGATAAATATTTATATAAAATGTAATACACTCCTTATTCCAACCAAAAGAGGAAGGAATTATAAAAACACATAGAGGACATAAAAGTATTAACCTAGAATTTTACTTCCTCTGTCCCATAAAGTGTTACCCATTTTGACTAAAGTTGAAATTAAGGGAGAGATAATTTTGTGTTGACTTTCCAAAAATACCCTTGATGTGATGGGTAAAAGTAGGATGTGATGTGTAGATTATTAGGAAAAAGGTATGATATGATAAGTAGGGTTTGAAAAAGTAAGGGGTAAAAGTGGTTTTTTAATAGAAATGGGTAAGGGATTGTGGGACAAATTTTTTTTGAAACGTGTAAATCTTTTTGGGACGGAGGAGTATAATTTTAAAAATCTTTCTGAAACATAAGTTTAAACATTATAAAAATAAACAAATACAAGCAATAACTAATTACATTACAATAAAAAACAATCAAATTCGAAGTAATTACTACGTATATAAATAAGTAAAAAATGAAGGTTCTTCTGGTGAAAATAAAACTCATGGAATAGAATAAAGAGGGTGGAGGACTAAAAAAATTTTATAAGGAATAAAGGTTTTCTTTGAGCATTTGCATCCGTAAAAAATCAATGCAAAAGGTCCAAAACAACCGATGTTAAAGGCTGTTTTTGTAGCAGTATATTGTGCCAAGAAATGTTTAATAGAAATATGAAAAGTGGAGAATCCAAAGAAATAGATGGGAAGTATGTGAAAAATATGAGTTGAGTATTGTGTTTTACTAATGAGAATTTTGAATTTTTTCGAATTGTTTTATAACCCTAACAACTAATTTTCAAAAAGAAAAAAGAAATTGGCCAAAATGGGGAGAGAACCCTGCTATCCGGTTCCTGCAGAGAGGACGGTGTTCTCATCCCAATCTCGTCCTCCCCCTTCCTTTCTGTTGACTTGTTCATCCCACATCGGCAATGCAACCTTATATTGTGCTGCTATTTAATAGCTTGGGTACCTCAACCTTTTTAGTTAACTTTTGGGGTTGAATTGGGCCCAAGTCTATTGTTTTAACACTTTCCCGCTCAGCCTTAGGGAGGAAAAATGTACTCCCTTCGTACACAAACAAACTTCTCGCTGCGTGTTACGATGTTTGACTGAAGTTATTTACAAATCATTTTATATGAAAAAATGATGTAAAAATTTAAAAATAAAAATTACATATTAAAAAAAATATCAAAAGATCTACAAAACTAGAGATGATATGACTATATTATTTTATCAAATAAGTAACGAAAATAGGCCAACAAAGTGAATAAAGTTTGACTCAACGAGAAGAAGTATTGAATTTTGCGGGTGAGGGAAACCACCCAGAAATTTCGAGCTACTACCAGTCATCAGTTTACAAATAAATAAGATGTACACGCGTAATATGATTAATTAAACTCTTAGCTAAGACCGCGTCCACTTTCTAATATGCTTCCATCACCCCCGGCTACACTGCTCTCCCTCCGCATCTTCCATTAATTAATTCACAACTACGTCACTACGACTATCATACGGAGTACTATAAAATAATATACTCCTTCCGTCCCGAAAAACATGAGAGTTTTGATTTTTAAGAGTGATTTAAGAGAGTATATTTTGGTATTAAATTTTCAAAAATGTCCTTTGATATGATGGGTAAAAATATGATTTGATGGATAAATTATTAGTAAAAAGGTATGATGTGATAGGTAAGGTATGAAAAAATAAGGGGTAAAAGTGACTTTTTAAAAGAAATAAGAAGTGTTTTTAAGTACGGATAAAAAAAGTAAAGAGAAATGTTTTCAGGGACGGAGAGAGTATATATATATATATATATACATACACACACACACACACACACACATATATATATATATAGCACTTGAGCTAGTTAACAAAAGAAAACAAAAGAAAACATGAAAATGGTAATAATTAGCCTCATGAAGAAGAAGAATCCATTAGTATTCCTCAAGAAAAAAAGCAGCATCTCTGCAGAGAATGGTGATGGTAAACCAAAGCCAGGAATGATAAGGAAAGCCGCCGAAATGACGCAAGCAGCGGCGGCGGCAGCAGCCACCACCACACACGTCGTCTACAGGGAGGATGATCCGCTACTGGACGGCGGCGGCGATGCCACTACTGAAAAGCCGCCATCTCACGGCAAGGTCGCCAAGAAGAAAGTGAGGTTTGCTTTGGATCATCAACGCGGCGGCGGAGAAGAAGGAGAAGAAGAGGAGGAGGAATCCGGCGGCGGGGGGTTGAAAGTGAGAATATTGGTGAGCAGAGGAGAGGCAGAGAGGCTGCTGTCGAGGTGTAAAGACGGAGGAGGGGTTCTGGCGTTCACAGACGTCGTGGCGGCCGGCTCATCACGGCATCATATTGCCGGCCGCCACTCCGCCGGGAATCTCTTTTCTCCCCTCCCCCCGGCCTCAGCTCTCCTATAATTATCAATTTTTGTTTTAGCATCGGAGAAGATTTATCATGTCATTACATATTTGTTTATCACTTGCGGAGTATATGACAATGGTTAGTTTATTTTATTGTTTATTTGTATTATAATTAGATCAGAAATAATTTTAATTATCTATAATTATTAAATCAGATTAGACTAGTTCATATCTTCAAAAAATCACAAGACATCAGGCGAACGGAATGCAGCCTTTGTTCCGAGCTAAAGTAACTTTAGAACACAAAACATATTACTCCCTAATTATATAGGGTGGAGGATAGATGTTGTGATCGAATAAAAATGGGCATAAAAATAAGAAATACTCATTCCTTCCTATAAAAAAAATCCCATGTTACTATATACCCTGGAGTATATCAGTTCCGTCCATTAATTTTCTTTCTCATTTTCCATTTTAAAATGTCTAAAAATTTATTTTCCATCTTTTATTGTTGTAAATTTTTTAAATGAATATACCATATATTCATACTTTTTCTCTATATTATGTAACACATGAAAGTATCTACACTTTATTCCAGTACATGGTTAAATCACAACTTTTCATCACATATTATCTTGACGTGCATATGTCATCAAGACACTACATAGGTTGATCCATGAATTGAATATGAGCATGCTACATGTACTCAAAATTTGTACTTTTTTATATCAAAGGTATGCAATAATATTTTGATGGTTCACACTGATATAAAGTGTTAGTGCGTTAACAAAAATTTATACTGACACAAAATGTTGATGCGTTAACAAAAATTATCAATACACTAATACAAAATATTAGTGCAGATATAAAATAATAGTATCCAATTGAATATGGATAAAGCTACTTGAACCCCATTTTGTTTAATCCGTTCAAATTTCAATTGAGTGTGAATATGTTTAGTTCGATTGTCTCGTACTTATTGATCTGGATTTTCGATTTGGGGTCATTTTGATTTTGATTTCAAGACTAGTGTAAACTATAAAGCCCAAACAAACCAAAGAACTAAGGGTACCCCTACGCCCACTAAAGAAAAGAGGCAAGGAACGCACGAAAACAAGGCGAGTGGTCGTCGGGAATCTGTGCCGTGGCTAAACCCCCCAAAACCCTCTCATCTCTATTCCCCGACGCTCTCTAGCTCCGATATGCACATTTTTGCCCCTTGTTTACCTTTTCACGTTTTCTTGAAATCCCCAATCTTGGATTTGCAGTCTGCATTCATCTTTTAATCTCACCCGTGTGCGCCATTGAAGATCTGAGCTTTTATGGTTCTTGTTCCCAGTGCGAGTGAAAGCCTGAAGCTTTGGGGTATGCATAATCTATTTATTCGTATTCTTGATCTCTTAGCATTTATGTTCCCGGCCTGAATTTTATTATTATTTTTTCTTTCTTTTTAGAAGGAGTTTAAGTTTTAAAAATGGCTTACCGACGGAGTGTGATAACTAGAGCGAAGCATTTCTATGAGCAACAGCGGTTTGCTCAAACAATTCCCCACATTTACTGTGAGGATGACCGGAGAAAACCCGAATCCAGTCTGCACAATCCCAGAATTTTAAGCGATCTTCAGAGCTGTTACTTTGGAAATAGAGTTAACAGTGTTGGTGGCAGTGTCCGGAAGCTTTTTCCTTCACAGCTCATGGTTCCCATGAGTTTGGGAGTCCCTTTCGTGAGGAATATGTCGACCAGTGTTGGCGAGGGAGTTGATAAGATGGAGTACATGTCTGATGTTGCTGGAGTTCTGTCTGATAAGGCGGTTGAAGCCGTGGCTTCTCAAGCTCCAGCAGTGATGTCTGAAGTTGCAATTGCTGCTTCTGACTCGTTTTTGCCCGTGGCTGCCTTGCAATATGTGATTGACTATGTTCATTGTTTTACTGGATTGAACTGGTAATATTTGTTTGAAGTTTCACTGCTTAGTTTGAAATGATAGTGTTTTTTTTTAAAACACGAACTACACTTCGTTTTGTTTTTCACTGCACCGAGCTGTAAAAGTCGATACAGTGTTGAGGTCTGCTTATCTTTGTTCAGGTGGTCATCAATTGTCTGCACAACTCTATTAATTAGATGGTTAAGCTTGCCATTGATGATACATCAGTTGAAAGCTACTTCAAGATTAGCTGTAAGTTTTATTCCGTCTTTGTGAATACTGGCGTTTAGGTTTGTTCTCCTCTAATGGTTTGTTTCTATGACTTCTTATGCATACTATACATTCAGTAGCCTGTGGAGTATTCCCATCATTCCCCTACCTTCAGCGTGAAGCTTTTCAAAACATAACATTATGTATTGGGAATTTGTTTTATGATATCCTCTCATTTAAGTAATATTGTATAGGAATTGGATTTTTTTATTTGGAATTGGATTTTTTCTTTTATCCATTTCATTTGTATGAGGATCAGTGCACAACAATTGCGATCATCATTTTTTATCCTGTTTGTTAATAATAATGATTCTTGCTTGGTTTATAATATTGGGTTTCTTATTGTTATTGTTGTTATTATTATCATCATTCAACTGTTTATAAGCATTCTTGGATGCTACTTTTCACCCTAAATTTTAAAATTTCTACCAACTTTCTGCAGGTTTTGAAGCCAAAGTTGGACGAGATAAGAGAAGAGATGCAAAATAAGGTATATTGACATGAGTGTTTTCTTGATCTAAAGTTGTGATTTTTGCTCAACTCTTTAGCTCATTTATACACCTCTGAGCTCTTGTAACTCAGTGTATCATCAACCGTTTTTATCATTTGAGCAATTTTTTTTATCAGTATAGGCGTCCTCGTTTGCGATATAAAGCCTTATGGTCTCACACACCATAAATTTCATTTGATAAGTTCTTATGAAACGCCGTAGCCACAAGAGATAATTGTTTTGTATATTGTCAGGGCATGTCTCCTTCAGCTGTAAATGACGGTCGTGAGAAGATGAATGCCCTATTCATTGAGTATGTCATATGCTTATTTAGTTCCACATATTCGCTGCTTAATTTTTCAATATGAAGTATGCTCACAACGATGCATGGCACGTATATTTTCAGACATAAAGTTACACCGTTCACTGCCTTGAAAGGGATTTTTATACAAGGTCCTGTATTTCTCTGCTTTTTCCTTGCCGTAAGAATGTCTTCTCTCTACCATGTTACTCTGTACTTGTTACAGTTTCTGGAATATGGCTTTATTATTATTGTTATTCCATTGCAGATTAGTAACATGGCAGAAAAAGTCCCATCATTTAAAGAGGGCGGTGCATTCTGGTTTACCGATTTGACTACTCCAGATAGTATGTACATCTTTCCAATTTTGACTGCATTGACATTTTGGATAACAGTCGAGGTAAGTTTTTATTCCATTACCATGTAATCGTTTGCTTGTTGAGCTTTCTCAATGATATGCGAGAGATATTGAAATTGCGTTGTGATTTATTTAGGGAAGAGAAAAATTATACGAACTACACGATTGTTTCCTTAGAAGGAAATATGAACCTTATTTTGGGACAGACACAAGAAAAAAAAGTTTTTTTAAAAAAAATCAAGAATCCCCGTATAAAGCTATTTCTTGTGTATGAAATTGCTCATTTGATATTCCTATTGGGAATTTATACGTCGTTCTTTGCTCAGTGTAATGCAATGGAAGGAATGGAAGGGAATTCCACCGCGTCCACCATAAAAAATGTTTCAAGGGTATTTGCTGCATTGACGATTCCATTTACTGCAAGTTTTCCAAAGGTACCTTTCTGGACGATATGATTCCATTTTATCTTTTCTATTTCTCTAATCTAAACATTGTCAAATACTCAACAAAACACAAGGCTCAATCCACACTAGAACTTCTATAACCAGACACATAGGGTATGTTTTGATCTCTCAAAATGCCGGAAAAGGAAAAAGACCGCTAAAGAAAGTTAGTTTCTTATGTTTAGCTTTACCTTGGAACTATGGCCTTAGATAGGGCCATCCGGAGGTTAGGGTCTAGGATTAGGTGAAGTTAATTAAAACGAATCTTACGAATTGCAACTGCTAGTGTTAAAAGAACATTTTATGCATGGAAATTTAGAAAGGAATCAAGACTTCATTTTGAACTCATTTATATGGCTTCTGTAATCTTTAATGGGAATCTTTTGTGACTACATTACAGGCCATATTCTGTTACTGGATCATCTCCAACCTTTTCTCACTCATGTATGGATTGGGTGAGTCAACTATTTCCCTTTTTCCCCCAAAAAATTTGTCATTTTTTTACACTAAAATTTCACCCCCACCCTTTTGTATCACCAGTAATTAAAAAGCCTCAAGTGAAGAAACTCCTCGGCGTGCCCATAATACCCCCGGCGCCTAGAACCACGGATCCAAAACCTGCAGTCCCATTTTTTGAAGCGCTGAAGAAGTATGCAGCGGCTCAAGAGTACGCGGCAAAACAAGCCACTCAGCAGATTTCACCATTGCCTACCGAAGCTCCCAAAACATCAACCCGACCCTCTTCCCCTGCTCTTAGTCACAGGATCAGAGCCTTAGAGAAAGAGGTCAAAGGAAAGAAGAAAGGGAAAAAGAGGCGATAATGATTGATGATGCATGTTATCAATTCAATTGATAATGAGTAATAAACTGCTGGCACGAACCCGTGATTTTTTGTTCTCTCACATTCATTTACAAAATGATATAAAGAAACTTATACGTCTTTTTGCCCAGCTTATACGTCTCTTTGTTGGTCGAATGATGTTGTTGTTACTTTGATGAAAGCCATTGCTTGGTGGATTGATGTCGTTACTTTGTTACTATCATTTATTCCTTTTGTTCGTTGATTTGATTCGTTGTATTATTTATCTTTTTTGTTCCGTCGTTGTATAATTCGTAAGGTTGAAGTGTCGTTACTTAGGTATGGATGCATATTTGATGATTTTGGTGTCTTCACTATTCCTCCATTTGAAATTTATTACCTTTTTTCGAGTATGAACCAACAAGTTTTTATTCAAACAAAATCCTCATGCATGACACAATTGAATTTGCACACAACTTACACTATGTTTGGTTTGTAGGATTCCGATGGAAAAGAAAAGATTTATCTCCTCTTCCTCGCCTAAATTGAAGGAAAGTCATTCTCTCTTTATTTTTTCTTCCACTTGTTTTTCTCCCAACCCAAATAAGATTAATTGTTTCTTTTTCTTTTCAAATTTCTTGAACCAAACAATGTTAAGAATGCTATGAATGAAACCACTTAAAGGAATGGTGTTCCACATTTTTCTTCTCATTCACTTAGATTTGAACCATAACTTTATTTTTTTTAAATTTACAAAAAAAGTACTCCGTACTCCATAATAAAAACTTTAATTTGGGATAAAGAAAATAATAAATAACAATGATACATCATGATATAATATGTAGTCATATTGATTATGAAATGCACATCTAGTATTTATAGAAAAACATAGAAAACAAATTACATAGCATGGTCCAGAGCATTAAAAATTTACAAGTACATCTCTAACAAATAAACAACTGTTTATTATTTCCACATTGATCCCAGTCCCCAGATACTCGGGATGAACACAAAGGCATCGTAATAGACTATGGTACACAAGCATGAAAAAATCTAAAAGGGGCCCTGCTAGAAGAATAATGATATTTGTACCTTGTAACCATTATTCGTCCATATACAAAAAATTGCTTGACGGTAACACTTCGACTGAAATCTCTTGCCAATGGAGCTAAGAAGTCATTCTTGATAATGCTTTGGGTAAATAACAGTTGAAATGGCGCGCAAATTAGCTTCGAGCTCATGCTTCTTTTTTCGGCAGTAAATGCACCGATGCATCGAGGGTCTTACGAAAACAACCTCTCTTTTTTACGAGGGTAAGGTTGCATACATATTGACACCGAGTCCCCAACAGATATGGGATCATTACGGATGAATGCAATAAATATCGGGGGAAAATGCAGTAAGTGTTAGATTTTGTAGTCGCGCATTGTTCTTATCCATTGGAAGGAGAAGATAATGATGTAGATGCAAAATTCAAGGCCAGTAATTCTTCTCTGCTGTATTTGAGCCTCTGATCTGTTTGGGCAATAATTATAAAAACAAAGTTAGACAGGGAAAAAAACCTGTGGAAAACTCTGTACAAAATTTGTACATCACTCACCAATGAAACTCTCATTCTTTACCCTAAGCAACGGCGAGGGTTGTTTATCCTCCTTGTGTTTGGGTTCTGAGGGAAGGGCCCTAACGTGTTCATGCCTCAAGTCGATTGAAGGATGATTTTGAGAAAATGATAGGATAGCATCTTCAGTTATTAGCCAACACCCATTTAGATCCAATACTTCCAGACCTGATGGGGGAATGAAGGAGTCAAGCCCCGCATTGGTTAGCACGGTATCACCAAGCCAAAGGTTTATCAAGTTTTTTATCTTTGATAAGTGGTGCAAGCACGCATCCGATAGGGGTCCGCCTCGTAAAGATAAATAGTTCAATTTTCTGATGTTTGAGAGAGGGGATAGTGCTTCATCCCTAATTGGAGTCTCCTCCAAATCCAATCTTTCCAAATGATGTAGACAATGTAATGCTGACAGAGAAAAGTTCCAGTCTTGATCAGATTCCACATGGTTAATCACACCTGAAGGATCATGCAATAAATTAATTAAACAATAATATTACTGCAACTAGTGAAATAAAAAAGGAGGAAATCCATACGCAACAGCACCTTTGACATTTGTACCCCTTAGACTGATGGACTTCAGTAAATGCATTGTGCTGATATATGAAATGGCATTGTCGTCAATGGCAGTGTAAGGCAACATTAACGTTTCGAGATGAGGAACACGCCCAGCTAAGATACCCACTCCATATGAGCTTACTTTTGCCTTGCTGAGATTTAAATACCTTAAACTTGGTCCAGTGCATACAATGTATTCAACTGATTCATCTCCAATGCCGCAATCACTGAGGTCTAATTCTGTTAGGGCATTCATGCACGTCAAAACCCCAAAGGAATGAATGTGCGAGTTGGACAAATCCAGAAGAGATAAACTAGAGGCTTCAACATTTTGAAAAACATCAGATTTATCTGAAATTCGGGATCCAGATAGAATCAGCCTTTCCACTCTCACTTTATTGCCTTCAAATAAAGAATCTACGACACAATTACTCATGTTCAGGAACGCAAGAGAGGGAAGAAATGGCAGACTCGTAACTTTTGTCCACGCTAAATCCAGGAAACTCAGTTCCCGGAAATTTCTAAGAACAGAAGCTCCTTCGTCAGATACTGAAGTTCCCCAAAGGACTAAAGATTGCAGTTTAGTGAGAGCCTGATATCATTTACAAAATTAATTCCAACACACAAATGAAGAAATAAAACTCTATTATATCAGGACAAAAAAAGGTTTTTTGCAATTGTTTTATACATTTTGCTATGCAAGTTTTATCCATTGGGCTTAACAAGTTTCCAACCACATCCAACTAAGGCTAATCACTTTGGTTCAAATTTAAAGAAAAGAATATAAGATAAGTTTAAGTACTCGTACAAGATACCTGTAGAGAACCCAGAGCTATATCGGTTACAGGCAGTCCACCCAAATCCAAAACAGATAAATTCGTTAATGAACTGAGAAGAATAACTCCTTCTGCCGTAATACTTGTTCGTGCAATCCACAACTTCTCCAGCTTTGGAATGGACAAAAGATGCCTAATTCCGGCATCTGTAATCTTTGGGCAATAAGAGAGGTCAAGTTCCTTCAAGCTCGTCATGCCTGGAACCATTAGAAGATTGATCTGAGTCAATATTTTAAAGCACAAGGACTATAAAACATGGCTATCGCTCCTTAGAGTGTGACACGGGCAACAATTATCGACACTATCCAAGAATCAACCGTAATTATGAGCATTTTTTTTCAAAAAAAAAAGAGAGAAGTATCAACAAATATTACATTGTAATCGAGTTAACACTAAAAGAACATGAAGTACAGACCTGTAATAGGCCATATAGAGGAACTACTAATTTTACGGCAATATGAGAGATTCAGTGTGTGCAAGTAGTTGAAGCCGCCTAAATATGCCATCCATTCTGCATCCACTCTGCTATTTCCTTTCAAGTTTACCTCATCCGCGCAATGGTTAAAAACTCTGTACATGGAAAATTGGATGAAGATCTTTCAAATTTAGTGCGGAAATTAAACACACATCATTATCAATTTCCAAATTAAAAAAACTCCCAAACATGTATTCCTCCATCCGTCCTTAAAACAAATGTCTTGTTTCGTTGCAAAATCTCATATCTTTTTTTTTAAATGTTCTTATTTATCAATTGGTATATAAATGGAACTGGATCAAATCAAAATTGCAATCGAAGTGAGCAAAAATCGTTTTCCAATAACCAGAGGGGAAACAAGTAGAGAAATAAAGGGAGCGAGATCGATCTATGTATGTACGTACTCGAGTAAAGAAGGGAAGAGGAGGCGACGGCGGAGCAGGCGGTGGAGGAGAATGTTGGCGAGGTCGCAAGGCAAGCGCTCCAGAGTGCGCCGCTGTCTCCGCCACGCCTCGACGGCATCGCGGTCCTCAGTTGCCGCATCGATGCACATCCGAACCAACAAGCCGCAATTTTCCATCGCAAATTGGGATAAATTCTTCTTCTTCTTCTTCTCCGTCCGTTCTGTTCCTTAGAGCCCACCCCTTTTAAATCGAACCAGTGCTTGCCCGGCAAGATTTTACCGTGCACTGCACGGTAAAATTATTACTCCATCCTTCCGTCGAGTTTGAAAGTTCCTTCCGTCGAGTTTGAAACTTTGAATGTTCGGCGCTCACCCCAGGCGCCCCTCAACCGAGACCTGAATGTGAAAGGAGATATGCCCACTAGAGACTCCCCATTGCTGAGGTGGTCGCCTCCACAAAGGTGGCTGCCAAGTTTGGATCCTTGGTCATCCTCCAAACTTCACCAAGTGTTTGCCACTTAGGCTACCCGTACGGGTAGCTCAAGTTGTTTGGTACACACGAATTAGATTTGAAATTCTATTGCTTTTAATTGGATGTGATTGAATTTTTTAATTACAATTCATTTTTTTGTGCTACTAATTTCAAATACTTATATTGTTGTGCTACCAAACAACAATAATTGAAATAAAGTCTTCAATTCTAATTTCAAGGCTTGAATTCCGTGTACCAAATACTGTTATATCATAATAAATCATTTCAAGATTGTTATATCATACGGAGTAATAAATACTGTTACTCGGGGTATATCATAATAAATCATTTCAAGACTTGTCACATCTATCCCGACAATCGCGCTCCATTTGTTGTCAGGATTATATTGTTTTTTCTGTTTACCTGCGTGTAGCAAATGAAACATACTACACGCTCAGCGTTGAAGCTGAGTAAGCATATCTAATGCGTCGAACATCCATATAAACTGAATCTAAATTCATAATCAAATCATTTGATATCATATAGACAATGTTCAATTCAGACATTCACAATCTTGATATTGATAAATTTCTAATCAAATCATTTGATATCATGCATACAATGTTGAATTCAGACATTTACAATGTTGATATTGTTAAGTTCATTTAATAAACTTTCCATGTTGTTGCCACAAAAATTCTTCTTTGGCCTAGTCTACTTCTTAGGACAACCGAATGACCTTGGGTGCTTTAACTTGAGCCCTTAGTTGCCCACTCTTGATGGGGCAAGATTTCCTTGATACAATCAATAGATTAAATTTGTGGCAAATTATATAGCGGATCTAAAGTACACCTCAATGTGAGTAGAATAAATATTTCCTTTCTTAAATAAGCAACTACTCCCTCCGTCCACAAATAAACTTTACGTTCATTATTTACAGAGTCAAACTTTATTCACTTTGTTAGTTTATTTTCGTCACCCATTTGATAAAATAATATAACCATGTCACATCTAGTTTTGTAGATCTTTTGATATAATTTTTTAATATGTAATTTTTATTTTTCAATTCTACACCATTTTTCATATAAAATGATTTGAAAATAATTTCAGTCAAACATCGTAACGCGCAATGTAAAGTTTATTTGTGGACGGAGGGAGTATTTCTTAAAATAAAAAAATTTTAAGGAAAAATTATATGAGAAAATTCACAAAAAATAAGCAGTCATGGTTTATCAAAGAAACACTCTAAATATGTAAACATGCTCCTATCTTCTAAGTTATATTGCCTAGTGGACACGTAGGCCAAGGTAATCTTAAGAGCACTGGTAATTGGTGTAACATCGGGGGCGTCATCGCCCGTTTAACGCGAGAGAACGTTAAACACCGCCCTCCTAACACTTCAGGAAAGAAAATCAAAAAACAGGAAAAAAAATCAGAATCATGTCAGTGCACCCACACCTTACCATTTAAAAAAGCAATAAATAAAGGATTGAAATATACCCCATTCATATATTTGTATAATAATTCTTAGGATAGAATAAAATGTTGAGCTAACAACATGACAGCACCACCAGAAGTATAAGAAAGAAAAAACCAAGCACTAGGACAAACCAAAGACTCTCAAGCTCCTTTTCTTGAAAAGCCATCTTGGTTTCTTAATACCTCCAACACTAGATATTTATATAACTCACTAACAAACAAAGAGGTGGGAGAAGAAAGAGGATGAGCACTCATTTTAAATTCCTCTCTTCACTCCTTTCTCCTCCTGAACCCCTCCTCCTCCTACACATATTGCAAACCACCCCATTGCTGAAAATCCAAACACAAAAAAAAACGAAAAACATTGCACACAGAAACAGGTATGGATACAGCACGGCTTTTATGTAAAAACTCGCGGTGCTTTGGGGTTATGGGTCTTCTTGTTGTTGTTTTAGAGAAGACGGTAACCAGAGACAGAGACGACTGCAGCAGAAGGGGCGCTGTGGATGTAGACGAATTGCAGGCTTTTTCCGGAAGGCAAAGAGTTGAGCCATGATGGGAGGAAGTAGGAGTGGCCATGCTTGTTAAGACCCCAAAGAGGACCATATAGCTCAGAGATAGAGATCTTCAAGTTCTTGACAGTCTTCCCTGAGTTATTGGTCACGGTCACCAAGTATTTGTTGTAATGTCTTCCTCCTTTAACCCACGACTTGGTCACCGTTTGTCGAATCCAAAACCGAGCTGAAGACGAAGCTGCAAATTCAATTTCATGTCAAGAATTTTTCACATGTTATCAAAAGAAAGATATTACAGCTGAACATTTTCTCTTTGATTGTGTAAAAACTTGGAAATAATGCAATTACCTGGAGCTGGAGTTGGTCTCGGAGAATGACGGGCAACAGGCTTAGGATGATAAGGAATAGCTGCATCAACAATTACATTTAAAAACCTTACTAAATACCCAATGAGCATTAAACATGGACTACCTAAGAATAATTAATTAATTAATTATTTAATTAAAAAATACCTGGAAGAAGCTGGCTATAGCCAGAATGTCCAGCATGTAACCTAGCCAAGACACCAATGAGTGGGGCACTGTTGTAAGTGGCAGGTTCAGTTTGCTCAAAGTTGTCTCTGTGATCAGCAAAGCTGTCGTAGGCATCTGGCCCACCAACGATTGCACCGACGAGAAGATTAGGGTCGCTGTTTTTGCTGCTGTACCAAGTGGCATACCCACCTCTGCAGCTCACGAATGCCGGGTTCTCCTTGATTGACACAATGGAAGACCCTCTGTGGTGCACTTGTTGTGGGTAGTTGGTTCCATAGCCCACCATGTAGCTAGTGGCTCTCGGGTTGTCTCCAAGAATGTAGTCCACCTGAGAAGAACATGTCAGGACATTTGTATTCAAATCATCACAAAAGCTTTTGTGCTATGTTTTAGTCTTATATATATATAGATTTCTTATCCATTTACCTGTGATTGAGCAAACGAAAGCATCTCAGATGGGGAAACATCAGCTCCATAGCCACACTTGAGTGTTCTGCCAGACGAGGACAGATAGTCGGAGTAGACAGTGAGCAGGTAGGAAGCGCTTGTAACGAACTGCAAGTTGTTCCAGTTCTGGTGGAAAAGAAGGCCTCCCGGAGTCCTCTGCACGTTACGGTTCCCCTTCCCCAAGCAAGAGCACATGAACGATTCTGCATTCTTCTGGTATTCCCCAAGCACTGATGCACGGTTTCCATCTTTTCCTTGCATCAAAAACTGCAACATCACCAAGAAAAAACGCGCAGCTCGTGATAGGTTCCAGAAGAAAGAATCACCAAACGCGAAGGGTGGGTTGTTTACCTTGGCGACGAGAACTTGAACGCCGGCATATTTGACATCCCATCCAAACTCAGTCATGGCCCAACTTGTCCCACCAAACTCATCTCCTTTGTCTGCCAAGTAGTTGAGGTAGTATGCGTTATTCGACGCCTTGTACAGCCAGGCTGCTGCCCACAGCAACTCATCCTGCATAAATCAAATCAAAAAACGGCAACGAGTTTAGCATTTTGAAAAAGATTATCTTATAATTACAACGCTTAGCTTTAGCTTTTTTGAAAGTAATCTGCATTTCCAAAGGCTGATTAAAACAATTATTTACAGTGTGGAAGATTTACCTTGTATCCACTAACAGATTGGTAAAAGTTACGGGCGACGGTAATGCTGCTGTCATATTTGCCCCTGTACTTGTCCGCAAATTCAAACAACTGCAAACCCCCCAAAGAGAGAAAGGTGAGGGACACAACAGTGTAATTAAGGGGAAGTTAAGGGGCGGGGGGAAGAAATAATAGTCAAGTGTGGGGGCGGGGTGCAAACTTTAAAAAAGGGGGGGTGGGGACCAGGCATGCCTCGTGGAACATGGCCAATCACATGACAGAACGCGTAATGTGCGGATACGGACGATTTGTTTTAGTAGCGACGGTTAGGATTTGGTGAGGGAGAAGGGGGATGGATCCCGTACGGCGCGCGGTAGAAAAACTGTCCGTGATTACCGCTTAAAGCCATTCCCCCCGGGCCCCACCACGTCTGTTACGTGTTTGGCTCAACATTTCTCCCCGGATTTGTAGCCGGATTGAACGGTATCTATAATAACCATTACTTTTATTTTATTTTATTTTTTGTGGTGTAACTAAAATTTTAAAGAAAAAGGAATTGTTTCCTCTTTTCTAGAAAACAATTCATGGTCAATTTTTAAAGAATTAAATTTGACATCACTTTTTTCAAATACATACGGAGTATTACTTTATTCGTTATTATTGATTTAACTTTCATTCCACGAAAAATTCTTGCTTAATGTTTACAAAAAAAATGAAAATTAGAATTAAAACATATGTAAATCACATTTTAGAAAACGTTTGGAATTAGTAGTGCGAAAAATGAATTAGAATTGAGAATTCAATTCCGTCAAATTCAATCCTACTGAATTTTAATTCCATTTAAATTCTAATTTCATCAATTTCATGTACCAAATAGATCCAAAGTGTATTTCGTATAAAAATGCGTACTACCTCAAAAAAATAAAATTCTTCTTCTCTAGTGGTCACACTCAATGTTATTTTTCATAATTGCATGACCTTTTTTTATTTCCTCCATAGAAATGTGTTAACACAAAACATACTCCGTGTGATCTTTCATTGGATCCCTTTAAGTAATAAAGAGTAGGTAACAATTAAGGATTATGCTATGTGTACCCCAAGTTTTGTACCCCAATTTGTACCCCGCAGTTTTGCACCAACACTTTGTGTTGGTGTAAAACTAATTTTTGTTAAACGCACCAACATTTGTGTCCGTGTGAATTTTTATAAACGCACCAACACTTGTGTCGGTGTAAACCATCGAAATGTTTGTGCAAACTTGTGGTGTACAAATGGGGTGTACAAATAGGGTATA